AGAAATTCTTGATGGAGTCAAGAAATCTTGATACAATTCCTTTTTATTTGTAGGACTGAACAAAGTCCTGATTTCCTGAATACAGGAGGAACCAAACACAGACAATTTCTTTGCTCACCTCATTTAGCTTGCACCCCGGTTCAAAAAGCATTAGGCTTTTTCCCAGGACCACACATGAACATTGGTTCAGGCTTTCTTCTCAATCTGAGTTCTGCCTCTGCTTCTCCACTTGGACTGTTTTTCCAGCATACTCACAGGTATGAGAGTGCATGCACACATGAACACACACTTGTATACACAAACATAATAGCATTCAACCTGTGTTTAAGTAGAGTAGCCTTGTCCTTGCCTTTTGTTTGGGGCAGAAATATATGCCTAGCTGTCTCTTACAGCCAACTTCAGTGAAACCTACCTTTCAACGAAGTTTAATCCAACCTGTAACTCACGCCCTGTCTTCCCTTCATCCATCATCCTAGTGGAGCCTAAAATGGTGACAGTCCTTTCAGAATGAAAAGAGAGAAATAAATTAACAGATTACAAGCTTAACTATTTACCTGTTTCCCTGTCAAGATAATTTCACACTGCCAAACTGAATAATTTCACTTCCCGAAATTTGTTCACCCTCAGCTTGATTTTCTTTCAATGAGTGAGGGAGGAGCTGCTCTCAAGTGCCTTCAAGCCTTCATGTGTCTATTGTTTGTATGCCAATACTGGCCCCAAACCCTAAGCATTAGCATGTTTCCAGGATGGGAAGGGGCTTTTAAATATAGGTAGGCCAAGAAAGAAGCAAACACAAGAACTTTTTCAACTCTGAAGATGCTTAATCACATTCTGCTCACCACTGAAATAGCTTCCTTGTCTCAACTTATATATAAAGACTTTTTTTTTCCATGTTTACAAGCCCACATATACGTTGAGGGTGCAGAGGCCCAATTTATGCAAAGGTTCTTGTTCCTCTTTCCTAGGGTCCATTTGAGGCCAATTAAGCAGTTCAGTTTTTTAAGATCCCATTTCCTACGCATGTTAGCAAGTCTGACCTAACAACTGGTAAGTTTAAGCAGGTGTCATCTTTTTCTATACAATGCATTCAGTAGTCAAACTCCCATTATTGTGGCTAACTATCCTGATCTAAATAAAAACCATAGAGCTGATCTTTGTACCTCCAAGTTTTGACTCTTCAGCTTGTTTTCTTCCTGTTTTCCAAGCTGGAAAAGCAGCTTTCATTAGTCACCTATAGTACCCCCAGCCTTGCATGTGTAACAGTTCTTCTTAGGGCCAATTTCTTCACAGTGCCAGCAGTAACTGGACTGCTTTCTATATTTTTGTACTGTTACTAATGTTTCTTTCTTTACAAGCCAAATGTATCACTTTCTCTAATCATGCAATAATATCACCAAGCAGAATAGAATTCCCTTTTCCTCCATGCACACAGAATAAAGAAGCTGCATTTGCAGGGTTCATGCTGATCAGCTACCATCTGCCTCAAAAACTCTTCCGGCAGATTCATTCCATAGCAAATTCTGCCTTTGAGAAGTGCTTTTGCTCTCTCTTTCCTGATTCTGATCTATTAGTCTGACCTGCTGAGAGGCAGGCATATTGTTAACTTATTCAGGAAGTCCAGGTATGTCAGGAGTTTCCCTGAGCCTTCTGTCAGTTCAGGTAAGGTTGCCTCTTTCTCACACCTTGTGACACTTAGCTGTGTTATGGCCTGCTCAGATAAATATCTGGCTCCAAACTGTATATTAATGCTTGTATTCAATAAGACCGTCTCTTTTCTGGGGGTGGAATTCTGCATCACCATTGGACCTGGGCTACTCAAGTGGTCTGCTAGGAAACCTTCCCCTAGCCCCCTTCCTCTTCAGCCATTTCTTTAGTCTATGATGTTGAACTGAGTCAAATAAACCTCCTTAGGAATAATTCGTTCAAAAAGAGCAAACCTATGCATTATTTGAGCTAGGACAGCTTAACTTCTCCCCTCCAGGCTTTGGTAGGTTACAAGTGTGGAAAACTTTTTGCAAAGGTCTTTGTTTTTTTAAATGTCTGTTCTTAGCTCTGACTGACCCAGTTCTGTGTCCAGGTGGCTGACTTCCGCTATGACCTTTTGATTTCCTTTTGGAACCAACGTTTTAGTCCTGTAAGTCCATGCTGCAGCTTATCTTATTTGTTAGTTCCAAGCTGAACAAAAATTTGCTTCATCAGCCCTACTGTGAAGATAAACTTTCAGTCAATGCCCATCAGGTTGCTAGTAATCTCATCCCTCTGTTTTACCATTCCAGACTGGAAATGTCTATCTTTTCAGTACGTTGGGCCACATCATAATTGTTGCTCCAACAGAGATTTCACCTGCAATCTTTCGCAGCTCTTTCTAGAAAACCTCCAGATCCTGCTTGAATTCTTTTTGTGACGTCTACAGCTCTTATTCCAGTTAATTCTAGGCTTAATTCCTTCTGGTCAAATGTGATTTCTGGAAGCAGCCCCATTATTTTCTACATATGGGTTTACCAGGAATAATGTTCATACTTTCTTTTGCATGGAAATAGGATCATCCCACTGACATGAGTGTTACCCCATCTGACCCAAATGGTAGCCAAGATAACTTACATTATTCCCAGTTAGGAGAAATTGGTAATAAAGTCAAGCTTCTTTGATGTAATTTTGTTTGTTTAACAAAGCAGGACTTTGTACTTTCTTTTAAGCACAGCAGTAATCAAATACCCAGAGACAGCTACCCTGCTTACAGCTCCAAATCTTTTTCTACCCACAGTTGAACTCAAAAGCATGCATTCTAGGTCTCTTGCAGGCCCTGTGGGTTCAATATAATTTAACCCAACTTATAACAGTGTACTTTCTACCATTCCTATTTCTGGAAAGTTTGGTAGAAAAATTACAAATAGCTTAGTTAAAGCAACACATCACTATTTTGCTCACTGTAACACTATAATATCTCAAAGTATGAGGAGCTTGTTACTGTGAATAGTAATATTTGAAGTTTGATGACAAATAACATTTCTAGGTGTAATGTTGGTGAGAAGTTTATGACTGACACTGGCAACACACAAGAATAATAGAAGACTCTTTACACCAATTCTTACTTTATTTCATGTTGGAAGGAAACTTTTGAAATTTAAATATTTAAGAAACATTTTGTACAAACTGGGGGTTTCTTACTGTTACTGTTACAGTTTTAGAATTCAAATCTAAAATATTCTGGGCATTTCTGTTTCTACTAAAGCAAGTCAGTTACAGTGCCTGAGACACACACATTTCATTGTAATTTTTAACAGAAAAATATTTAACCAAGTTATTTCAAAGACTGAAATATTCAGACTTTTGAATCTTTGTTATGAAATTGTTGGTAATTATTATGTCAAAATAAAATGTCATTTGGCATTTCCAAGAAATTTCAAAATGTCACTTCAGTACAGCACAAAAAATTTCAAGTTTGGACTAATTGCCAGAGCAGGTATTCTGATGCCAACCAGTCCTACCCATCTTTTAAGATTCTCTTCATTGCCAATGTCCAGTACTTTTGATGGGTCATTTTTAAGGTTCTTCTGACTCCTTTTGTGTGATTGCATATCTGGCATATGCAAAGAAGGACTAAGCTGACAAGTCAAATTCTCCCTTTAATTACATCCAGGCAGCCAGGCTGAAGTCATCCTGTTGTCAGGGTTTAAACGAAGGCAGAATCTGAGCCAGAATTGGATGCAGGATTTCAGTTCCTGCTGCCTAATAAGTAGCAGCTCTTTGGAGGGAGGCTGCTGTTCTCCGTCCTTCACGACCCACAAATGTTGCCTCATTGCCCTGGCCTGATGCACAAATCAAGCCTAGGGTCTTGGGCAGAGAAAGCAGAAAGCGGGCTCCCCTGCTAAGGATGCCAGCAGCAGGTGTCCTCCCGCCAGCGCTCGCCGCCTCCAAGCACAACAGGGCCCGTCGTTTTGGTTTCTCCGCTCTCCGGAGATGCGCGCACCACGCGGCTGCAAGTCCCAGCTTGCCTCATTGCCCTGGCCTGATGCACAAATCAAGCCTAGGGTCTTGGGCAGAGAAAGCAGAAAGCGGGCTCCCCTGCTAAGGATGCCAGCAGCAGGTGTCCTCCCGCCAGCGCTCGCCGCCTCCAAGCACAACAGGGCCCGTCGTTTTGGTTTCTCCGCTCTCCGGAGATGCGCGCACCACGCGGCTGCAAGTCCCAGCCTCCCACTGCTGCCCTGCCGCTCCCCTGCCTAGCGGCTTCCACCCCCTCTCCTGCAGCCGGCTCCCGC